TTATTTGTCAATGACAAATTTTACATTACTAGATTATATATTGGATACAGTATATGTAGAAAGTATGCAAGCAGGTTGTATCTGAATTTGGTAGGGTTATACGGCCGTATAACATTTTCTATACACTAGTCTGCTATGAATTAACTATTTTATCACTCCTTCTATGTAATTCCTTGTTCTTAGAGCGTGAAGGACTAAAAATTACTACTATCCAGACATACATATGAGTGTTGAATGAGGGCAGAAGAGAATTTACAAAGTAGGTATCAAGGCTAGAAGCACGAAAGATGTCTGACGTGCTGCAGAGTCGTTGACTTGTCGACATACACGTGGCTTCATTCTAAATACGAACTAGTTATTTGATCGAAAATAAGATCTGACCAATGGTGAGTTGGGCACGTACACGATAGGGATCTGTAGTTGTATGGTTTTTTTAATGGAATATTATATAGCCGGCGCTATTGGTAATACACTAGCGAGCGTCAAAGAAGAATGATAGGTGAGGATACAGGTCAATTGACCAATAAATTCGTCAAGATCAATGATGTTTTCCAGGGAAACCATGTGGGGGTCAACCTGACAAGGTAATATACATTGCTATAAATGGGGCCTCTGTTCCCCGTTACTAACAATTTCTTTCCACTGTAAATGTAGGGTGTAAATTTTTTAATGAATTTCAAAAAGTTCACGTTATTTTCGATAGTTGTTTCGATATTTTTGAAATCATTAGATACCATGTTGATTTTAATTTTGTCAGAATTAAAATCGGCACTTTTTTTAAATTAAGTTTTAGTAATAAATAAGAAGTTGCCGTGTGGTCCCGGCATAGAATAGGCCACCCCTTCCTTTCTCGTCAGTATCATAAGAGTCGACTAAGGGAGAGCGAGGGATGGGTAGCAATGTCCCGGTTTAAACATTTTCAAAGCCTAACTGCGGTTACCAATCCGCCTGCCAAATGTGGCAACTACTGGCAAAATCCCTTTAGGGTGAGGCTTATGTTCAGCAGTGGACAGTTAAAGTCTGGTATGATGATGAATAAATAAGAATTTTAGTAATAAATAGTAAAACAAAAATAGGACAAAATAAAAAAAAATATATCATTCAGAGCTACCGAAAGCAGTCAACCAGGGTGGAAACAACCTGGCAAGTACACTGCTAGTAATGGGGACAATGGTGCCCGCTACTTCCTATCCCTTCAAGATTAATAAGTTGTTAAGAAAACAATTTTATTACACGCCAATGAATTCAAATTAAACATCTATTATTGACTCTAGTATTTCCTTAATTTAGGTCCTTGACGTCAACATAATTATAGTGATTCCATGATACTTCCTGACACTGAGTCATTGATTGAATATTTTAGTTCGTTTATTTATTATTTATCTTAAACCATTGGTCGCCCAGTGGTCGAAATTCGACCATAACATATATTGTAATAAATGAATTTATTATGGGTATGTTTGACCTTCAGTACGGCTATAGACAAATAATATTAAAGAGAAACAATATTACTCTGTTCTCAATTTGACCACAGACGTTAACAATAAACAAAAGAGTATATATGCGTGTGTGTGTGTCAAATACCCATGTATTTTTGTTGTACGTTTTAGTTGGGGGGAAGGGATTGTTAGCAATGGAGTTTGACAGCCTCATTGTTAGCAATTTGCCTTATTAGGTCGACTTCCACGTGGTTCCCCCTGGAAACCATCGTGAACAATTCTCGTTGAATTCGTCACGATGGGCCAACTGACCTGTTTCATCCTCGTCTATCATCCTTCACTTCAGCGTATACCGATAGCGCGGGTGGGGTTACTATTTCATTATTACTTATAAAAAAAATACATGGTAGTGTGTGTAATGTTTTTTTTTATTAGTTGAATGTAATTTTTATGCATAATTAAAAAAATATATTAGCATTCTGCACTCCTTCTCCATATAAATTATAATTGTGCGAAATTTCATACTCCTCCGTCCGCGCAATTTTCGTAAAAAACAGTACAAAGTTTTGGTTTTACGCATTAATATTCAATCATAGAACTCTACACTGGCCCAATTTTAAGCTGTGGTTTTGTTCAGCATACTGTTTTTTTTTATTTATGGTTATGTACTCTACGTTGTATGTAAGAGACATAGACAAAGAGACCTTACAATAAATCGCGCCAAATAATAATATTGTTTATAATGAAAAAAACTTTTTACTCGCGACTTCATCCACGTAACTAAAATGATTGAAGGGACTTTTTTTATACAACTTAGAATGGCAAACAAGCTGACGGCCCGCCTGATGGAAAGTGGTAACCGTCGCCTATAGACATGAGCAGTACCATGGACATAACAGAGTATATTGTTTCGCCAATGATACCCTCCATGCGTAAGAGGAATAATACTTGAGGAGTTAGGTATTATTCCTCTGTATATAGTATAGCCATGTAAACACACCTGTTTTACGTTAAAAACACGAATGGGACAAAGGTGCCCAAGCAAACGACTTTTGTACAGTCTCCCTCTGGTATATGTATTGACTTTTGAAAACTCTGTCTACTCGTGCGAAGCCGGGTCGGATCGCTAGTATGAACTAAATTTATATTTCACATTTAAGTCGGAACAACGAAGAAGCTCTTAGAACAACGATTTCGATGTCTTATCAAGTTTAAATTTTAGTTCTAATGATAAAAATAGACAATGCCTCTTTAGAATAGACTCCATTGTCAACTAAGGGTAATCATTTTTAATTATACTGAACTAGTTTGTACCCGCTACATCGTTCGTGTGACCGGGATTGTACACTGACCACGACAAAAGCTAATTAATAAAAGAAAAATTGGCTAAGCAAGCTGCACTATCTCTTGCATTGAAACTACTCAATGATATTTTGAGCCGGTATCCGCAATTGGATGTGTTTGCCTCTAACTTGCTGGAGTTTCGTCGCGTGACCACAGAGTATTTGTGTTCAGACGTTTTTTGTTTGAGTTAAATCTTTTATTTTTGTTTTTTTTTTCTGTAATATTCTTTTTTATATGTTATTGTACTCATGCTTTCCTGGGTGAGCGTATTGGAAGACTGTAAGGCTCACCCAGTGGATGTAATAAATATATAAATAAATAAATTACTGTTAAAAAAAAAGTAGCTACTGTTCTTCTCCGTCACATATAGTATATGTATAATAGATTTTATAGTGATTAGTTTTTTTTTAAATGGATTACCCATTGGTAAAAAAACGTTCACGCTCACTTTTTACCTTTATCCGAGCAGTAAGTGCTTTATATTATTCTCAATTTCGTGTATAATATAGTATATATCATATATGTGTAAGTATATTTGTTATTCATATATATTTATACGTTTATATATGTAATTTTAGTATGTATGTATATCAATAATTAGTAGTACCGCATTCGAGTATTCTGACACTTCCCTATGGTTGACTGGGAGAGAATGCTTTTAGCATTAAGTCCGCCATGTACACATATGTGAGTACACACTAATGAATAAATAAATAAATAAATGGTATGGTAACCTCGTCTGTGCCACCGGTATACACTGGCGGGGCACCAGTAATAGATGACTGATGAGGATGAAAATAGGTCAGTTAGCCCATCCTGACGAATTCAACTAGAATTAGCCACGATGGTTTCCAAGGGAAACCACGCGGAAGTCGACCTGACTGGGTACATTGCTAGTAATGGGGCTATTTGACCCCATTAGTAACAATCCTTCACCCCCTCCCATAGTAATTAGACTGTTAACGGGCTATAAGGTATGAGTAACAAACAAACTCACTTTCAAATCAGTTATATATATAATAAAATCGTAACTGGTTGCTGTCTGTACATGGAAGATATATAAAAAAAAAACCATTATAGGCGAGCTTTATGAACGCGAAAGAACCCAAAACAATGATTTTCGAATTTTTGTCTGTAAGTTTGTGCACGCTAATCCAAGAAAAGGCTTAATCGATTTCAATACAGTTTTCACTAATGCGATGTGGTTTATACCACTTAACATATAGTGTTTATTTTATTTCAATCGGTCTATAAATAAAAAAGTTATATCAATCTAAAAAAATCACATATAAAATGCTATAAAATAACCGATCAATTGAATTGGCTGAACCATTTTTATTATATGTATTGATTTTCGAAAATTCTGTCTAGGAGCGCGAAGTCGGGTCGGATCGCTAGCTTATTATATATATAAATATTTAACAACAATTTAACAACTTCAATATTTAATATAAATCTATCTTAGAAAATCGTCCAATGACTTAGTGTTATAGATAGATAATAAGATCTACGAACTACATGCTGAGGGCCTACCATGAAATGTTTTCCGAAATTTCGGAGCCAAACGAAACAGACGAAATTTGATGTTAAAATTACATAATACATGCCGTTTGGACATATTAAAAATGTTAAAATATTGTTCCTTTGGACTTTTATGATAGGATGTATGACGAACGAAATGTTAAACTCCATTTATTGGTCCGATTTTGGTATAAACAAAAACACGAAATTGAGTTCGAAATTTCGGAATTTCATTTAGAATAGAATAGAAACATTTATTGCCAGTAAACAGACAATTACAATATAAAATGTAAATAATATATACAAAAAGTGTTCCATACTAGGCAAAAGGAACCGGCTCATGATATGCATGCATTTCATGGCAGACCCGCTAAAAGTTTGGAATCATCCATCTTCAAATCGCAACTCTCTTCACGAATGTATTCATTTTAAATTTCTTTAGTTTAACTAGTATAATGTCGTAACGAATCATTAATTATAATTACGTATTTATTAATTATAAACAACGGTAATTAACGTGTACACACAAACATGTCGAAAACGAGCGGAAATTTCGACATAACAGGTCAATTACATCTTTTGGTAGAATTGTAAACCTAAAAATAGACAGACACATTTACGGATGGACTGCACACTGTAATTTGTTGTTATACTACAAGATTAAAAAAAAAATTAATAGTGATGTCAGATGCTCACCTGATCATTCTGGTCGTGAGTCAAGTACAACCAACCGAGCAGTGCTTGCGGGCAGCTCTCCGTCTTACCGCACCATTGCGGCAGTTCAGTACCAATTGCGGTCGGCGACATTGCTGCATCGGCCTCGCGGAAATCACACAAAACAGAACAGCACTAGCGAATTTCAAATTTAGAATTCCGTATTTAAATTTGGAATGTTTCGGTGTTAAAATTGAAATTTGTTTGTATAGGGAGAGCGCGGTCAGCCCATGTCAACGCGAATGCGGCCGGGCCGTGTAGGTCGATATTTTTGGATCGCACTGGTGTTCGGGATGCGCGCGCGCCGGCCACACTGACTAGCAGCCGCTCCTTAAGACGCCCGACTGGGAATAAGGATGGTGTTTGTTTATTACACTCTTATAATTATCGAGTTGGTACAGAGGGGTATCGAGATAACGCCGGAATTTGCTACATTGTCTTTTTTGTTTGTAGCTTCGTCTCACTCTAAGTTTTTCGCATACATATTTTTTTATACTTATATATCACAAGCATTCAAATTGACGGGCAAAGACTTAGTTTTTTTTTTATAATCGTCTTTTCGTGTCTAGTCTATTCTTAATTTTCCAGCTTTTGTTATGTTTATATCTAGTGTAAATAAATAACTTGGTAAGAATATATTTTAATGCATCGTTTCTAACATGGAAATATCCTTTATAATGTGAAAGTGAGGGGGATGGGGGGAAGAGATTCAGTCCCATTGCTAGCTACATACCCTGTCAGGTCGATCTCCACGTGATCTCTCTTGGAAATCCTCGTGCTGAATTCCAGGTGTACTCATCACGATAAGCTAACTGTCCTGCCTTTTCATCTTCACCTATCCCTCACTAGTGCTTTGCCAGCGTATACCGTTAGAGCAAACGGGGTGACCATTCCATTATCATGTATTAAAAAAAATGCAAAAGTGAGTTCCATTGTTTATTTCTTTTGTTTCTTACCTCTTGACGCGTTAACGATTTTAAGTTGAGAAGAACATGGACGATTTTTATTTCAGTCATGTGACCGAAGTAAGTAGTAATTAGTTTAGAATAAGGCAAAAGGGGATTATCGTTGCCAAGCTTAGTATATAAATCTTTAAATAAAGACAGACAAAAATTAGTAAAGTGTAAGCAACTTCCCTCGTGTTACAAGTGTCCATGGGCGACGGTGACCGTTTTTCATTGAAGGTGTCATAGGCGACACAGTATACTCTTACGTCCATGATATTATTCATGTTTATAAGCGACGGTTACCACTTTCCATCAAGTGTATAGTCAGCTCGTTTGCCATTCTAATTTTTATAAAAAAAATATTAATAAAAAATGATGTAAAACAGATCATACATTTTGCATCATTCTGTATCGATATTTTTATCGATTCTATACAATGCTAATCATTTCACATCACTAGTTTCTAACATGTGGGCGCACCCGACCGCCGGGATACAGAGAGCAATATTTTCGTTCAGCCCCTCTACTATGGCACTGCGTCTACGAACGATTACCGACTGCTCCCGTCAAATCCCATACGAAAAACGATGCAATAGATCACAAAAGTTGTTCCTCAATGTAATGTGGTAACGGTCATTGTGAGATTAAGATAATGAAAAATATTAAATGCATTTATTTATCAGTCTCGCATCTATACTCAGTAGTTGGCTAAACTGCAAAACTGCCAAACTAAAATATAATTTTATACACAACTAACTCTTCACCGCGGTTTTGCCTGCGTGAAGTATAAGTATAAAGTATCCCATATTTTTATTTCTTATGCAACTTATAATGGCAATCAATCTGACGGCCCACCTGATGGAAAGTAGTAACCGTCGCCTATAGACATGAGCAGTACCATGGACATAACAGAGTATACTGTTTCGCTCACGGTACCTCCCATATGTTGCTATTCCTGAGTACTCAGGTGTTATTACTCTGTACCCTGTAAATTCTCTGCCATATCCCACCCTTCACACTGAAACACAGCCATGCAGACACAACTGCTTCACGGTAGTAACACGAATGAGACAGAGGAACTTTTGTACAAAGTCTTCTTTCTATATATTAAGGTACGATATATCACATCTTTTTTTTCGAAACCTCTTTTCGATTGTCGATCATTAAGATCGAAATCGAGATTCGAAAACCGAAAACCTCTTTTTTTTAAGTCGTTTAATAACAATCTTCTTTAAACTGTGAAAAGTAATAAATATTGATAGAAACACTCAGAACATTTATGTCAAGCACTTTTGTTGCTATTTCCCGAAATACTGCGGATTGTAGCTTACTTATGTCTGAAGGATCGAAGCCCTTGAAATCATAAATATACTAAAAGTGGACGTCAATAAATTATCCTTGCTCCGAATGGTTATTGTAGAAAAAACACCGTGTGTGAGAACATTTGTATATAGTGGGTTCCGTATCAATTTTCATTTATATAATATCCTATAACATATAAAAAAGCACATACAGAGAATGGGCTGTATTTTATTAAAAAAAGCCGTGTAAATTATGGCGTAATTCGGTATAAATGGACAGTTGTTTCAAAATTTTTACAAAAAATTACGTAAATACTTAATGACATAAACGTTTGTCATTAATGGAGTTTAAAGGGGACAAAATCTTAATTTGTTTGTATTTTTATGTGTACATTTTTTAAGCGGCATCTCCACAAATTCTACACTGATTTCGATGATTATTTTTGTAATGAACAATATGCTCTGTTATTGCGCGCCATCATACTAAACTAATATGTCATGTTCAAAGTTAGTTTTTAACCGATTTTAAAAAAAAGGAGGTCTTCAATTCAGTTGTATTTTTTGTTTGTCACCTCATAACTCCGACAGTTGTAAACTGATTTGGAAAATTCTTTTTTTTTTACCTGAAAGGACAAACTTATAGATTTTTTCGTTAGAAATTTTATTAAAAACAGTTTAGTAATTTAGTTTTTAAATCAAAATAATTAGTTTTCGCATAATTGAAGTAGATTTTTTTGTGGAATACAATTTTTGTAGTACAAAATATCGTATTATTAATATACATATATTACTTTTTAGATGAATATATAATTATTTAGTACGGAACCCTAAAATATTATAAAGTTAAGGGTCAATAGGTGTCAGCTTACGTCGACGCTTGCACTATAATAGAATAAATTGTTTTTGTGTTAAAAGACATTTTAAGTTGTCTCATTTTGTTTTCATATAAACTACACACAGTTTGTTTTTAATTTGTATTTTGATCATTTACTATGTTTGATTTTAAAATTATTATTTTTAGCTTTATATTTTAATTTTTTTTTAATACAACTTAGAATGGCAAACATGCTGACGGTCCACTTGATGTGACCGCGTGTCAAAGTGACACTTGTGTGAAACTGGTAACCGTCGACTATAGACATGAGCAGTACCATGGACATAACAGAGTATACTGTTTCACCCATTATACTCCCCATGCGGTGCCATTCCAACTCAAACTCAGGTGTTATTCCTCTGTACCCTGTAAATTTACGCCATATCCTACCATGCAAACACAAATGCTTCACGGTACAAACACAAATAGGACAGTGGTACCCAAGCAAACGACTTTTATACAAAGTCTCCCTCTGGTAAAAATATTGTTTTTTTAAGTTATTATATGTATATTAATTCCATACCCAATTTCGTTTTTTCTTGAACTATATTTAATTTAAAAAATTAACTTATTAACATTTAGTGCGTTAAATAGTCTTTACGTTCTCTGTATTCTATGAACACAAATGCATTGAGAATTCCAAGTAAAACGAATCTAAAATTGGCTGTTTAATATCATTTACATGGGTTTATAGCGCGATATTGGGAGCGCCTGCGCGTGCGCAGGTTCGGTGGTCATTACCCTTTTCAATTTTCTCAATATATCTAATTTCAGATAAACCAATTACATACAATTATTATCTCTTTTCTGTCCTGTTGGCCGTTTTCAAAGTTTGTGTTCTGTGACTAGGGTTAACTGGCTCTAACTGAAAGTAATCAATAAAAAAAAAAATATAAACACATTATTGTCTATGATTTTCATATTTTTATTAATAATAATACATTAACAGGTTATTAGGTTATTGAACTTAACGTGTAAAGTTAGTATTTAACCTATCCATGTACCAAATTTCATTTAAATCAGTTAAGGCGTAAAAGAGTAACAAATATTCATTCATACATGTTCACAAACTTTTGCGTTTATAATAACGGTAGGATACCAATATTAGCCTAGTTAAGATTATTTTGCAGGGGCGGAGAACACTTCTTAAAAATTACACATTTTTTTTATGGACGATAATGGAATGGTATCCCCACCCGCGCCATCTGTATACACCGGCGGGGCACCAGTGAAGGATGACAGATGAGGATGAAGCAGGTTAGTTAGCCCATCGTGACGAATTCAACAAGAATTGTTCACGATGGTTTCCAGGGGGAACCACGTAGAGGTCGACCTAATAGGGCATATTGCTAGCAATGGGGCTGTCAAACTCCATTGCTAACAATCCCTTTCCCTCTAATTACACATATTCATTCTAATATAATATAAACATATCTTTTTGTTCGAGTGACAGCCTCGAATGTATTGCAGGGAGTCGATGTATGCAGGTGGCTAAGACCGTACTTTATGGCAGACTGTGAGGGAGGCCTATGTTCAACAGTGGACGGATAATTGCTAAGATGACGATGATTACATACATACGTCTTCGAAGCTTTGCTCGTTTCCTGGGGTGGGCACTAGACGATTCAGAGGTGGGCACGACACAATCTGTTTGCCTCTAAATATGCAAATCAAATCAAATCATATTTATTCGCTTGCTACATGGTACAATAAGAAGTTACATACATATACAGGCACATAACATGCAGCACCCCGCAGAGGTATGCAAACGTTAAAATGGTTTTAAGTCTACATTATATTACAATTATAGTACAAACATTTTCCAAATTACAATATTCTTTATGTCAAATTATCATATAAAATTATGGTTTATATTTTAAGCAATTTTTAATACATTACATCTTTTATTATATTTTTTGTCATTTAAATAACTGTGTAATAGCATTTTTCTAAAAGAAAGTGAAATAGCTTTGATCTAAACCTCTCTATCGGAAGATCCTTTATTTCTGAAGGTAACTTATTGTATACCTGTATTGCCATTGGATAACATCTATCAATAGTGATAGCTAGGGGGAAAGGGATTGTTAGTAATGGAGACTGAGAATCCCATTGCTAGCAATATACCCAACCAGGTCGACCTCCACGCGGTTCCCCTTGGAAACTATCATGGTTAATTCCTGATGAATTCATCATGATGGGCTAACTGGCCTGTTTT